GTTCGCACTCACCTGCCTTCTCGTCTGCCTCTCAGGACTCAGACCCGGGATCCGAGATGTCGGTGGCGACTCTGGCAAGACACCTTCCAAGTAAGTCAGACCTGACTGGGATGTTCTCCCACCTCGAACATTCTCTGAAATCTGAGATTTCCTCAGTCAAAGCGGAGGTGTCCCATGTACTCCACCGAGTGGAAGACGCAGAATCCCGCCTAGACACTCATGCCCGAGCCATCAGGGAACTGCAGGAACACAGCACATCCGCGCAGGTGGCAATGAGATCAGCCCTATATAAGCTGGAGGATCAGGAGAACCGGAACCGTCGTAATAACCTGAGGGTCCGCGGCCTACCCGAGGCCACACGTGATGCGGATCTAGGAGACACACTACGTGGTATCTTTAACGGCCTCCTGGGGCGACCACCTACCTCACCGATGCCTTTTGACAGAGCCCATAGAGCACTACGTCCTCGAGTTGGAGCGCGTGAGTCGCCGAGAGATGTCATAGTGCGATTTCATTATTAGACTGATAAAGCTATGGTGGCGGATCGCCTCAGGGGCACAGCGGATGTAGATTTCGATGGGGCCAAATTGCACGTCTATCCCGATCTGGCAGCTGAGACCCTGTCCAGAAGACGGGCCCTGAAGCCTCTACTCCAACTGATGCGAGATAATGATATAATCTATCGATGGGGATTTCCAGCCTGCTTGATAGGCACCCGTGCAGGGCGATCTGCAACCCTCAGATTTCCTGAAGATCTACCTAGTTTCTGTGACAAACTGGATATATCGCCCCCTGAGTTGCCTGGCTGGGCTGACCCCACTCCTGGATGGGTTATGCTACCCTCATCACAATGGCAGCAACAGTCACCGAAACCTCGTCGCACCCCACGGAGGCAACCATCAACCAGATCGGCTACTACGGCAGCCCCATGAGGTCTCTTCACTTTGTTGGTCACATCTGGTTTGTGATTGATAAGGGGATTGTCCCCGGATACACCTCCCAGACGTTGATGGCTAGATATAGTCTTCCCTTACCAACGGCCATACTTGTGCGAAGCGGAACTGTTTGCACTATTTTTTTTTTCCTTTTTTTTTTTTTTATCATTTCTCTTAGTTGGCCATGAGCCCATGTCGGAAGGAGAGTGAGCTATGGCGACTTGGCCCGGACTATATTGCCTAACGTCAGGTTGGACTGTTCTTTTTTTCTCCCATAACACTAACAGAAATTGGACATGCCATTAATTCCTCTCCCCTGGGCAAGAGTCCAGGCCCTGATGGATTCCCTCTTTTATATTATAAGCGCTACCATACCATATTAGCCCTCTTTTTTAGTCGCTATGTCAACTCCATTGAAGCTGACGCACCTCTACGCCCTGAATCATTACTGGCTCATATTACCCTCCTCGCTAAACCAGATAAGGACCCATCATGTTGCTCCAGTTATCGCCCTATATCGCTCATGAATGTGGACACTAAAATATACGCCAAGATCCTGGCTTCCAGGCTCAGCCCTCTTCTGCCCCACTGGGTCCACCCGGACCAAGTGGGGTTTGTCCCGGGGAGGGAGGCAAGAGACAGTGCTCTTAAATCAGTATCTTTGATCCATTTGGCCCAGAAACTGAACTCCCCAGTCCTACTCTTGTCCACTGATGCTGAAAAAGCATTCGACAGAGTGGACTGGGGATTCATGTTGGCTACTCTACGGGCACTGGGATTGGGACCTAAGATGATGACATGGATCTCTGCACTATATTCCTCGCCGACAGCTAAAGTCAAGGTGAATGGAACACTATCAGCCCCTTTCCCACTATACAATGGCATAAGACAGGGCTGTCCGCTCTCACCGTTGTTATTTGTTCTTTCCCTTGAACCCTTCTTAGCCACCATCCGCAACCACTTTGACATTCATGGTATATCCTCCTCTACGACTGAATACAAAGTGGCGGCATATGCCGATGATATTTTGTTTTATGTGCGAAACCCCAGAATTTTGCTCCCGCATATCCTGTCAGAACTAAAAATGTATGGGGAATTATCTAATTTCAAGATTATTATGGGCAAGTCTGAAATTTTAAACATAACGGTGAGAGGGGCAGACTGTCGGAGTCTACTCCTTCATTTTCCCTTTATTTGGAAGCCAAAATGTATTCGTT